CCATGGTTAACAACATCAGGTACATATTTATTGTATGACTATGTCCATCTCCTAAAATGTATACGAAATAATTGGTTGACAGAGAAGACTGGTCAACTTTGTTTTTTGCACAATGGGGAACTGACCTTGGCCAAGTGGAGTGATTTGGAAACCTTGTATAAAACTGAATCTATTAGCCTTTTAAAACTTTCTAAACTAACAGCTAAATCAGTTTATCCAAAACCAATAGAGAGACAGTCTGTACAATTTTGTTTGTCTGTGTTTTGTGAAGAAACAGTAGCTGCTTTTAGAACACACCCAGACATTGAAAATAAAGAATTTGAAGGTACTGCTGTATTTATTGAAAAAATTATTTCTTTTTGGAGTGTTGTTAATGTCAAAGCACCTGGTGCTGGAATTCGATTTAGAAATGAATTGCGCGGAGAAATACACTCAATTGATGATCAACAGTTACAACTGCTGCGAGATACTGCTGATTTGGCAAAATTTATGAAACCTACAGGTAAGCGATTTAAGCAGCTTACACATGATACCAGTACTGCAATAGAACATACATGCTATGGTTTCATTGATCTTGTGGAAACGTTATTGAGTACTGGATCCAAATATGTTTTATTAGGTTGGTTTTCAACAGATCCTCTTGAAAAAGCTTTTTCTAAGCTTCGTCAGGGGTCTGGGGGTACATACTTCATAAATGCTAAATCTGTACTTGAAAAAATACATATTCAACATACTAAACTGATATTACAACTAGACATTCCTGTTAATGGTGTTGATGGTCATATTTGTGACATATGTTGCAGAGATGTTTCTACTGATGAAAAAGAATTGCTGGATAATTTGCATGATCTTGAAAGTTTGGTTAATAAATCGACATTATTAGCTATCGTTTACATAGCTGGCTATGTGCAAAAAAATGAAATAAATATCTATGATGATACAACCAGTTATTATAACGAATATGGAGATTATCTGAATAGCTTAAACAGAGGTGGACTTGAAATTCCTACTGATACTCTCGTCCAATGGTCAATATTTTGTTTTCTATTTTTTCAAGGTGCCACTGGACCTTTATGCAGAACATTTTGTGTAACTCAGTTTCAATTCATAGCAGCCAAGTATAGATTTAAAATAACAAAGAGACAATGCAGAATATATTCTAATATTTTGTTGAAGAATTATGCACTAATTTCTACTCCTAATAGTAGCAGAGAATCGAAAGCAAAAATACTAAAGCTGTCATAGTTTTTTTGAATTTCAGGTTTTAATTCTCCTTTTGTTTTATGTCTCTGGATGTATTTAAATTTAAAAATAGTTATTTGATACATAATAATACCCTATTTGATACATAATAAGAGATAGATAAAACTAAAAAGTTTTTTAATGAATTGACTTTGTTTTTGTTTTTATTTGACATTTTTTGATGTTACTTTATTTCAAGTTATGTTCTGTAAGCAAAAAAAAAAAAATTTTTTAACATTTTTAAATATGTTAAAGTATGAACATTTTTCAAACGATTTTAGTTTTCTTATTATAATTTTGTCTTTATTAAAGATTCGAATAAGAAAGTATTGACAAAGTATTAAAAACGATTAGTAAGACTTTATATAAATATACAAGCAATCAAAGTTTAATCGGCCTTCAGTTTTTGCGGCGTGTCGCGCGATGTCAAGGCCTGTTATTATAGAAGGCCATGGCTTAAACCAATATTAGCATGAAAATGGATTGTTACAAGTAAAGAAAATGTCTTATAAAGATCAAGAAAAAGTATTCTGTTTCAATTAGAGGAATCAAAAAATCTATAAAAAATGTAAAAAAAAGTTTAATGTACTCATATCAATAATAAATGAGAGTGAACTGGTTTGATTAAGCATAAAGTCACTTCCCATACAGATATAGCAGGGAATAAAGAGTTAGTTTTAAATGCGCTTGAATTAACCGTACAGTTGAATTTACAGACAATTGGTTTGAAATATTTTGTAGCAAACAGCCAAGTATTAGCAAAAGCGAGTTGTAAAAGAAGACTTACCTTTTGTAATTTACATCTTAACAAGCCAGATTCATTTTGGGATACAATTGAATTGTCTGAATTTCAACTTCGATTTAAAAATAATGGTCCAGATTTTTTCTGACCTTTATAACAGAATTGCATACTAACTGCTGTAAAGTATGGTGGAGGGACAATTATGGTATGGAGTTGTTTTTCCTTTACAAGTGTGGGAAATTTGTTCAAAATTTTAAAATGACTGTGTTAGTTACATCAAGGATTCAGATGTAAATCTTAATGAAAATGTTTCTTTGGTTTGTTGTTGTATATTATTAATTGCGGTTGTATATTTTCAATTATTGTTGTATATTTTTAACATCACAAAAATAGATTTATATAGTTTTTTATTTCTCTGAGAAAAATTTCATTGACGAGTTGGATTGGTTTCCACAATTGCTTGATTTAAGCTCCATTGAGCACTTGTGGTAAATACTGGATATCAATGAACCAAAACAGCTTAGAAAAATTTTAAAACTTTCTGGAATGAAATGCAGCTAATAGGATTTGATTTCTACAAAAAAAATCTGCCAAAATGTTTTTGTAAAGTTTTTTTTCTTATAATACCCCAGGTATTAAGATTTTCTAAGAAATCATTTCAAGCTGACATTTAACCTCTTGGTTCTGAAGCCACTGCACTAAGGCTGCTCAAAATTAATTAAATTTTAAAGAGGGAATTTAAATTAATAAAATTTTGAATTTTTACATCTTGATATCTGCTTTTTTTGTAATTAAATAATTTTTTTTTTACGTTTGTTTTTTGTTACAATTTTACATAACCAGTAATATACATATTTTTTTACTGGGGTAATTAGAAAACTTCTTATTATAATACCCTTTTGTAAAATAAAAAGTATATAAATAAAAATTTAGAATTTCTAATATTAAACAAAAGTGTGAAATTCAAATTTTTGAAAAAAATTTAAATTTCACAAAAAAATTTTATAAAATTAACTGAAGCTCATAACATTTTTACAGTTTAAATACGTAATAAAATAGTTTTTTTATAATTTAAAAAGAATGAGAACTTTTATAGTTAAAAAAAAAAGAAAACAAAGAACATTTCGAAGATTTAAAATTGTTTAATTATTTTTTCAAAACAGAATTAAAATAAACAAACAAAAAAATGTATCATAAAATATTGTTTTAAATGGTCACACACACAAAAAAATCTTTTTACAAAAAAAAAAAAAGTGTATGTATTGTTTAAATTTAGTATATATTTTTTTATAGTTCTTTTAAATATTAGGTGGACAAGGAAAAATCCAGCCAACTTTAAATTGAGATTTCTCTAAAACGATAAATGCTTTTTATTTCAATTTTTTTATTAATAAATGTATTTACATTGATTAGAGTTTCAACTTTATTTTAAGGGGCTTGATGGAATGTTTGGCGAGAGATTGAATTTTAAAGCGGGTTGATGCCATCATTTCACAGATTTTTTATTTTTTCATCTTATTGGTGACATATTAGTTACATGTGACATATCTTTATTGGTGGACATCATCTTATTGGTGGACATCATCTCATTGGTGGACATCATCTTATTGGTGACATTAATTACGGTGACATTAATCTACGTTTTTTCGAAGTTCTTTTTATTTTTTGTTACTCCACCTGTCTTACAAAGAACTCCTTTAACTATTGCCTAAAAATCTTTAATCTTGCGCTCTTCAGGACGATTAGGAGGGTTTTTATCTTTAGGAACAATTTTCAAATTACTATCTTTGCACCACTGTAAAACATTTTTAGAATAGTGAGAAGCAGCAAGATCTGGCCAAAAGAGACATCAGTATTTGTATTTTTTCATAAATGTCAAAAATCATTGTTGGAGGCATTCTTTGATGTAGAGATTGGCATTCAAGATCTTCATAGTGACAAAACAAGAGGACTGCATACCACGGCTACAAATTGCCACACAAGGAACCTGGATGCAAATTTTCTCGTTGAATATATTTAAATTGATCATCAACAGATGTTGACCAAGAAGTTGTGAAAAAGCTGCCTTTCAATATGTTTTATCGTCTTCAATTATACACATACTTTTATCCGCCATTATTTTAACCAACTTCTTAGCGCGTTGAATTTCTTTAATTTCACCATTTAAGCTTCTCTTAGATGTATTTTCTTATGAAATGCTTTAATTCCAGCATTTTTAAGCACTTTTTTGGTATAAGAACGCAAAATCTTGAATTTTCTTGTTAGATCTTGCTGTGACTGATTTGGATTTCTTACCATTGAACGTAAAATCAACTTTACCTTTTTGGATTTGTGGAAAGTTTTCTTTCTTCCACTTCCAGGTTTTCTTTCGAAGCTTTGAGTAGTCTTGAACTTATTTATAATATCCATGAATATAGATTTTGGGTCATTTTCACGTTTAGCAATCAAGCGATATAAAGTCAATGGTTTTTTGCAAAAAAAATTCACAACTTATTTACGCACATCAATTTGTTTCCGAAACATTTTGCAAAACATTATTTTGTAAACAAAAGTTTATCAACACAATTAAAGATAAGGAAGTAACGTTTAATTAAAAAAATAAAAGAAATAAAAAGCATTTGTGGTTTTAGAGAAATCTCAATTTAAAGTTGACTGGAATTTTTCGTGTCCACCCGATATATTGAAAAACTCCAAGAAGTTTAACAAGTCTTGTTATGGTTAAAATAATGTGGCTTATACTTTCATTTGAATTTTAAATTTGGTCTTTTAAATATCATCCATTTAAATGTGGCCTTTTAAATGTCATTCTTTTTGGTTCATAAGCGAGTGTTTTACCACTTTAAGTTTGAATCCTTACTATGTACCTATGGTTAATTAAACCATGCACAACTCGTATCTTTGCTCAGCAGCCTTGTTTGTCAATTATTTATTGTATATTCATTTTTTTTATATATATAGATGTGTTATTTGTATTTCTATTATTTTTATATGTATTCTAATTATTCTTGCTACATAGGTTTGAGTTAAAGAAAAATAATTGTTTGTATTATTACAAGTCTCAGCAGGTAAGAAAATGTTGCAATTAGTTGTTGATAATAACTTTATTGATGTACTAAAATTACCTTAATATGTTTAGGACCGCGTACCTAGTGGTGCTGTTATTTTATTTAACTATGCCATCACTCGTGCACCAGAAGTCACCAAGCGGTTTGCTTTTCAAGTAGCTAAAGGTGGAGCTCGTTCTTATTTTTTGGCTGCTAACTCTGAAGATGAAATGAAAAAGTAAACAAAAGTTTATAACAAATTTAAAAAACAATAAATGTTATAAAACAAAAATATTTTTATTTATATTATAATTTTTTTTAAACATTTATTTTATTATTATTTTTAAACTAATTTACATAACAATAAATGTTATAAATCAAAAATATTTTTTACTAATATTATAATTTTTTTTTAATATTTTTTTTGTTATTATTTTAAACAAATTTGAAAAACTATAAACATTATAAATCAAAAATATTTTTTAAATATTTTTAAACTAATTTTTTACTATTATTTTTGAGATGGATGAAGTTTATAACAGAGTCTTCTCACCAGCCTCTATCAGAATTGGTAATAATTCATTTTGTCATTTTAACACTTTTCTAATATTACCTCAACAAACCATCACATTAAGTTACAAATGATTTTGAAAAAAACTTTAAATTAACTAACATTTTGTTTTAAATAAATCTTATTAGAAGTATATTTACTATTAGAACTAGAAAGGAAACTTTAAATAAATATCCCTGAATAAATGATCACAAATGAACATTTTAGAGCACAATACCAGAATGCAGTTTAAAAAATGTAAGCATTCCTGCTTTATCTATACAAGAGCCAGACTGTCATGGTTTTCTATGGAAGCGAGGCAATTCTCACAAATATTGGCGAAAGCGCTATTGTGTCATGAAGTATGGATGTTTGTTTTATTATGAAGATATTGCTGATCAAGTTGCCCTTGGTGTTTTTAAGTTGCATAATTATGTCATTGATCATAGTAACGATACCAAAAATGGTTTTCAAGCAAATCCTCCTTATCAGAAGTTAAGGACTTACTATTTTTATACCGAAAGTGAAATTGATTTAGAAAGGTAATAGTTATTTTTATTTTATTTTATGAGTATTGTATTTATTTTATTGTATACAAGAGTAGTGTTTTTTTTGCAATAATTTATAATTGCTAAATTTATCATCATTATCAACTCCAAAATCAATATCAATTACATAATCACTACCAATATTGCCAATAATATCATTACCACTACCAACATCATTATCAATCTCATCATCAGTACCAACAACACAAACAATTCTTTCACCAATTTAGTATTGACACCACTAACATAATTAACACCACCAGTATCCTAATCTCAACCAACATTGTTATCAATATTTTTATGCCACAAATTTCAGTGTTTAAAATAAATATTCCAAGATTAAAAATCATTGAGTTAAAAAAAATAAAAAAATTTGGAGAGAAAACTAAAAATAAATTTTCACTTACATATCATGCATAGTTTGTGTCCAACACTCTTGTGGAAAGTGTGGAGTGTACTTCCACTTATTCATCCACATCGATGTGTACTCAAATTTTTTACACAGTTGTCGACTTCTTGTTTTTGCACACTAGTGTGGAACAAATTTAATTTTATGAAAATATGGCCATTAAATAGCTTGTGGGATTGCTTAAAATAAAAAATCTTTTTTTTTTTTTAATGCTTCAATGTAAATAATTTGCATTTTGTTTAAAGAATGGCAGTCAATTACTGCAAGTTTTTTTAAATATTTTTTTAACATTCAAAATTCTTTACTAAAATTAGAGATTTTTCCTTTTTTTTCTTTAAATTTACAGAATTTAAAAAATATCCAAAAATTTCAAGATTACTTTTTGCATTGTTTTTTTTTTTTTTTTTAAATTTCAAAATTTTCTCAGTTAGAATAATGACGTTTTCGCCAATGAGATCTGATATCCAAAAAATATTTTCTAAAAATCCTAAAACTACATGATCTTGTAAAGTTTTACAATTGTCTTTTTGTGTTTGACTTTCTACAAAATAATTTACCAAACTCTATTTATTAAAACAAATGAAATTCATAATCATCACACCAGAAATACATAAAATAGTAAGCTATACTCTTCTATTTTCAACACAATTAAATACGGTAAGTTTTTCATAAAACAACAATGTATTTCCGATTGAAACTACTGTATTCCTGCATTAATAAAAAAGTCTAAAAGTCCAACTTTCTCTAAAATGTCATTAAAAAATCTTAATTCTATTGGAAATTTGTAAAAAAAATTATAAAAAGTCTTTAGTGCACAGTCAATTGTGTCATTCTGGAAAGTAAAAATAAAATAAACTTTTTTTAATTTTGTATCACTATCATAAAGTAGTTATAATACTACCACCACCAACAACAACAATAATAAATAATAATAGTAATGAAAATATATACAAAAGTAGTAAAATTTAAAACTTTATATTACTTCTTCATCTATTAGGGTGACGCAGATGTATTTTTAATACATTGTTTCTAGTTTAAGATGTTGAATGCTGGATCTTCTTGACTTGATGCATGGGTTTTGCTTGTGTCTCTGTTTTTATGACTAGGCAACTCATTCTATTATCTCCTAATGTTGGCACAGCTCTAAAACACAGTTTTATGGTTCTGAGGCCGGCGGGTAGTCAGGTTTCTTGAACTCTGTGGTAGCTCTCAGAGAGGCTGATTCCATCAACAGCTGAAAAATATTAAAGTATTAACAAGGCTATGTTGCGCATAGATGGTGACCCTGTTTGTACTTTTGGTGTGCATTGCCAAGGCCACATTGGAGCCCTTTGTTATGGCTTAGGGTTTATTAATAGTAATGAGGCAATTGCTTGGGCTATTCAAAAGTGTACTGAGTACTATCTATGCTTTGAGTCAAGTTTTTCACAAATTTAAAAATGAATAAATTAACAAAAATTATAAAACATAAAAAGCCATTGTCATCACCAAGTTCTCTATACCTATCATTCACTAATATTTGTGGTCTTCGAAGAAACATTTTTTCTGTTGAGTCTTATCTCTTGCAAGTTCACCAGACCTACTTGCTCTTTGTGAGGCTAATTTGAGTTCAGCTGTCTCTTGTGTTCTAAGTGTTGATGGTTATCTTCCTTTAATTCGTAAAGACTCCAATAGTCACATGCTTGGTTTGGGCATTTACATTCTTAAAAATTCACCCATTAATCGGGAAACTAGGTGTGAATTCACAGACTACTTTTTATGTGCTTTCGTTTAGCACCACTTTACTCTATAGACTTTCTCTTTGTTCTATATTTCTCTCCTTCATCTTAAGACAGCACTCTTCTTGATGTTATTTCTGATCATATTGACCAAGCCCTCTCTCTTTATCCATCAGTCAATATTGTTGTTGTCGGTGACTTAAACGCTCATCACACTGAATAGCTTGGCTTTAGTGTCAGTGACTCTGCAGGCATTAAAACCCACAACTTTTGCCTTTCTCAATCCCTAACTCATATAGTCAACTTTCCAACTTGCTTTCCAGACAACCGGAATCATTTACCTTCTCATCAGCTTCTGTATCTAAAGCAGTTTTCTGCTTAGACTCTTCTACAGCTTGTGGCCCGGACAACATACCTGTTATATTCTTGCAAAAATGTTCTCCGGAGCTGTCATCTATCCTTTCAAAACTACTCAACAAGTGCTTATCTGAGTCTTGTTTTCAAGCCTGCTGGAAAGCAACATCTGTTATCCCTATTTTTAAAAATTGTGGAGAGCGATCTGTGGATTCGTCTAACTACCAACCCATTAGTCTTCTTCCTATCATAAGCAAAGCTTTTTGAATCTTTAATTAACAAACACCTAATCTCTCACCTTGAATCTAATATCTTATTTTCTGATCATCAATATGGATTTCGATCTTCTCGTTCTATGGCTGATTTGCTAACAGTAAAAACCGGTAGGTTTAATCGTGACATTTGACATTTCTAAAGCGTTTGATAAAGTTTAGCATGCTGGTCTTCTCCATAAGCTTTCTTCTTACTGTGTATCTGGTAACATCTATAAGATTATCGAATCCTTCCTTTCCAACCGAAGTATAAAAGTTGTCCTTGATGGACAGCACTCTTCTTATTATTCTGTCCCCTCAGGGGTTCCTCAAGGTTGAATCCTTAGCCCTGTACTCTTTTTAATTTACGTTAACGATCTTCCAGATTTTCTCACATCTAAGGTGGCATTGTTTGCTGATGATACTACCATTTATTCTTGTCTTGATAAAAAGCCAACTCTCTCTGATTGCTTGGATGGGGCATTAGAGCTTGAAAAGGATCTCACTTCTACTACAGCATGAGGCTTACAGGTAAACTTTAATTCAGATAAAACTCAATTTTTTTCAGCCAATTGTTATCGCTTTTGTTTAGACCTTCATATATTTATGTACAGTAATGTACTCAATGAATAATCTTGCCTTCATCTTCTAGGATTAACTCTTACTTACGATCTTTCTTGGAAACCATATATCAAATCGGTTGCAAAATTAGCATCTACTAAGGTTGCATCACTTTATCCAGCTCAACACTTTCTTACTCCGGATTCTATTCTCAATCTCTATAAATCTCAAATCCCGCCTTGTATGGAATACTGTTGTCATATTTGCCATTTAGAAGGAAGAAAATGACCATACTATTCAAGAGTCTAATATGAAGAAAAGTTCTTTGCTAATAGTTCTGCCTTATCCTAAAGAGTGTTAATAAGATCAGTCCCATGAATGAGAGATGGAATGTTAGACCTACCCTTGTTAGTGATGTTAAAGATTTTCCATAGGTCTCTTGAGCCTGAATTCTGAGATAAGATACAAGCTTTAGTGACCTGGAACAGAAAACACCTGTTTTCATCAATTTTCTGCAATAATAAATACCCGTTTGTTTGAAATGTGGACTTGAAATTCCACCTAAGGTGGAATTTCAAGTCCACATTTTCTATAAAAGTGAAGTAATGATCAAATAAATTTCTTTTTTTTTTAGTGAATATATAAAAATATATTGTTAAAAAAAAAAGAGGGATATTTTTTTTTTACAATCCATACTACCTTATTATGGTTAATTTTTATTTTATTTATTGTTTTTATTGAAGTTATTATTAGTTTATAATTATTGTTTATTTCAGTATTATACTTGATTTTAATTTTATATTGAAACTAAAAGTTAATAATGAAACTAACCTTTTAGGGAGTTCAAAAACTAGGGGGACTCCTTAGACTCCGGACTCTTTTTTTTTTAATAACTTTTTGGAGTCAATTAGCCAGAATCATTAAGAAAACGTGTTAAAATTCTTTTTTTTTTTTACTTTAGGTTCAACTCAGGTTTGAGTTTGTAAACATTTGTGCCTAAGCTAGGGTCGCTATTGTCCCGGTTTTTACTAAAGGTTATCATTAGGTTCTCCCACGGATAAACCGGGACAATGACAAACCTAAACATAATTCTGCATCTAAATATCAGCGTACACCAATGATTTTGTACACCGCATATGCTTTGATTTGCCTCTTATATTCTTTAAAAGCAATTTATGCTATGGAGGATGTATGCCCTATAGATGTTGCACATTTTTGAATAATTTATATGCTGCAGGGCTCGTTAATAAGGGTTTCGTTAATAAACGTTTATATGCGTTAATATACGTATGTATATATATATATATATATATATATATATATATATATATATATATATATATATATATATAAAATTTAAAAAATTTTGGAGTCAAAACGGTAAAAACGGGCTCCTGGACTCCGAATCTGTGACTTTCATAAATATTTAAACGGTTGGCTATAATTTTATTTTATGATATTTATTTTACCAATCACTTTTTCTTATATTATCAATTGCTTTTATGTTTTTGAATTTTTTAAGGTGGATTGGTGCAATTAAACTTTCTATTGCTACAGTAAAATAAAATATTTTCAACTTTGGATATTTCATTCCCTCGTCTCGCATCTTTGGACGAATTTATTAGCGAGAATAGAGAATACTATAACTTAATAAACTATATATATATATATATATATTTTTAATAATTAAAAAACATATTTTATCCAGTAAATTGATTAATTTATTTTTTTTAAGAATATTTTTTTTCTTTTCAACTTCTATTAATATTTATTTTAACTTTTTTACTAGTATTTTTTTTTCAAATTGGCTTTTTTTTTTTGTATAAAGACGCAAAATATTTATAGGCACGCATATATATATATATATATATATATATATATATATATATATATATATATATATATATATATATATATATATATATATATATATATATATATATATATATATATATATATATATATATATATATATATATATATATATTTATATATATATATATATATATATATATATATATATATATATATATATATATATATATATATATATATATATATATATATATATATATATATATATATATGCATGTATGTATTATATTTTATGGTTAAATTTAATGTAAATAATTTTTGTGGTGATTTTTTTAAGTTTTTGTTATATTTTATTCTCGAGTGAAATCAGAATGATTTTAAATATTTAAATAACTTTGTCAAGATTTTTACTTAGTATATTTGCTCAGGAAGAAACCTAAAACGCGTCAGGAAGAAACCTAAAACGCGTCAGGAAGAAACCTAAAACGCGTCAAAAAAAAAAGATGAAAACTGATAATGAAAACGCTTAAATAGCTCATATTTATTTGATTTCCATCATTACATAAGTAATATACTCAGCTCAAAGAAACTTTTTCTGGTTTATAAGTTTATCATTAATTTATTTAGAATGGTATATAGGATAATTCCCTTGCATTACCTTATTCATACTAAGAAACACAAGTTATGCCAAAGAAGTCGTAATATATTTTATTTATGATTGGCTCAGTAAAAGTAAAAGATTATTTTGTCTGAACTTTATGATTAGCTCAGTAAAAAAAAGATTATTTTAAAAGTTTTACATTAGTGTTTAATCAATTATTTGTTGTTCAAAGAATTTTTGTCTTTTAGAACGCTCAGTAATTTTCAGTGAAATCGATTAACGATGAATTAAGAACAATTTAAAACGTGGTTTTGAATTATTTTCTCCTTTCCTGCTGAAATGCAGTGAAGATTTTTTTCTTGTTCCCTGCCGCGCGCAGTGGAGTATTTGACCCAAAAAGTCGATCAAAAATATTTTATGGATTTTTTTTCAATATTTTAGTTTGAACACAGTATTTTATGAAAATTAACGTTTAATTAAAAATTATATATTTTAGAGAGTAATTTATTAAGAAAAAGACTCGTTTTAAACTGTTCGCGTGTCGAATCTTTATTCTGAGATAATCATATTTACTGCCTCTTGAAAAAGGTAGCATTTTTTTGTGTCGTTTTGATCTAGAACTACTTATGTATAGGTCTGAACTCAATAGCAGTCTATTTAATACGTTTGTATTGCAGTCGATACGAGAAAACTTTCGACTAAAATTTTGTCTGTACTGCCGAAAGTGTTTGTTTCTGGCTTCAGCTGCCTCCTCATATAACTGGCCGATAGGGAGGATTGCATGAGTTATTACTTCTGCACCATGCATCAACACTTTATGCATAGTTGGAGACATGGGATACCAACCATACAGATTGATATACATTCGAGCAGTTTCATTAGCAAAAACGTCGAATTTAAGAGCATCAATTTTATATCCACTTGAAATGTCTTCAAGAATAACGTGTAAACGTTTTATTAAACTCAAGTCAACGCCAGTTATTTGTGAAGATAATTCCGAATTTGAAAAAAAATTTCTTGACGTTTTGCCGTCATTGTTATTTTCAAACACAAGTATTTGTAGAAGGCAATTTTACCAGAAAACAGTGGGAACTTATTCAAAGTAGAAACAAAAATGTCTACCCCTGCTAGTCAGTAATTCAACAAGCCAAAAAAGAATTTTACCCTGATAAGGAATCGATACAAGTAACCGAAACTTCAGCTGAAATTCAACTACAAACATTACTTAACCACACCACATTGTGCTTATATAAGTGTCGCAGAGGTCGTAGAAAAGTGTTCAGAAGAAGATCAGAAGAATATGGTTTTATTATCAAAATAGGGCTGTGATGGATCACAACAAGCAAAATTTCTGTTCTTCATTGATTATTTCCAAACTTCAAGTAGATATACCTAAAGCTTTAGGTATATCTACTTGAAGCCCTAATTTTTTTTTGAAGGATGTTTGAATATTCTTCTTCGCTTCTTTGACAATTTCTTTTTAATCGTCTGATCGAGCTTGCCACTTTTGTAAAGGTATTTTATAAGCTAAATGAAGAAGCGATTCAAAGAAGCGGGTCCTTGCATGAAGTCCTTGCATGAAGAATGGAGAATAAGATGGCTTCTGTATTGATTTACTATTTTTTGACTAGTTTGTTAAAATCTTCTGATGTTTGTAGAAATTTTTTTTTCGACTTTGAATAAGTTCCCACTGTTTTCTGGTAAAATTGTCTTCTACAAATAGCTCCAGTGCCTCTTGAGGTGTTAATTTATTGACAGTTACTCTTTTTCAAGCAGAGTTAAATACTTTACGGTATTTCTTGGCTCTGGTAGGCGTGGCAGTGATTTCTTCAATAAATTTTGCTACATCAGTATTTCCTGAAGTGCGCTGGCTCACTCTGGCTGCATACGTAAACTCATTAACAGATACCTGCCTGCGCAGATTCATAGTTTTTTGACGCTTACAGCAATCACTAAGCTCTATAAATGATTTTGATGGTCGTCCAGGCCTCTGTCGAAACGTTTATTGACCAATAAGGTAATTCGATGTTTGATTTGAGCCATTGTTTATTGTTTTTTATAAAAATTTCATGTTTATAACTTGCAGCTATCCATCTTTTCTTGAAATCGCTTTTAAAGAATTTTAAATTTTTTGTTATGGCACTCTTTTTATCTCTTGGGTATTTCATAACTGTTATAAGTACTTCTTCCAACAACAAAAACTTTTCTTCAAATTTTTTACCTTTATAATCTTTCATTATTTCATATAACTCTCTTCGAGTGAACAGCTTTTTTACTTCAGACTGCTTCAGACGAATCTACAAGATAAATAATAAAACAATCAATACAAAGCTGGGTCACAGCGTTCGTAACGATCGAGAAATAAAACATATATATTTGTTTGATATTTTATAGTTTAATAATAGCTTAATAATTTAATATATTATCTATTTATGATTATAACAGTTATGTATCTTTTGCTGCTCTCACCTAAAAAATAAAAATAATCCAAATTAATTAACAAATTTTTTGTTACCAATAAAACGGCTCATTCCGCGAAGAAACAGGAATAAGTTCATACATTTAAGTCGTTAAATGTTCATTTTTCAATCATCGTCACTATCGTCGCTATATCACGTCACTAGTGTTCGGCACAAATTCAAATAGTTTGATCAAATATGCGTCAAATGTTTGAAATAGCCAAATTCAAATCTTCCTATTTTGAATTTAGATCAAATTCAAATCTTTCCAAGATTTGATGTATATTTGAACGTTATTTAACTTATTTCATTTATTAATTTTAGTTATCTGAATCTATAAATTTTATTCATATTGCAGCATTTGTTACTATTTCTCACACATTACAGCTTCTTTTATTCTTTTTAATCCAACCAAGACTTCAAGCACTGGCAAGCTTGAATGGTGTCTGCAGAGAGAAGATTTCTTTTGTCAGTAATAAGATTTTTTCCTAATGAGAAGAGCCTTTCTGATGATATAGATGTAGCAGGAATGGCCAGGTAATCTCTGGCCATTCTGGATAGGTTTGGATATTTGTCAGATCGAGATTTCCACCAAAGTAATATGTTGCTATTATTGCCGCCATCTAGCTTACTTGTATCATTACAATAGTTTTCAAACTCATTACATGGGTTTGATAAAACACGCGATTTGAACGGGGTATATTTTGAAACGTTTTGAATGCTTGTAGCAGTTGTAATATTGCTTGGGGCATAATTGATTTGATATTCACAATTGACTGTGTCCATAATCTTTGTATACGACTCGCTGTTTGCGCCCTTATCATTTTTGTAATATTCAATACCAAATCTTGGGTCCAGGACAGTGCAGATAGTAAAGCAGTCACTAGTCAAATTATAATATCTTGAAATTTTTGCGAACGCTGCAACTGTAGAGCGGTGTAGATTATCTTCAGGGTTGGTTTTTGTGGTCATCCATTCAGTAATGTGATCCAAAAGAATATTGAAGAGAGGAACCACCAAAGACAATGTGGAATATGAATCACCACTAATGAGCTGGGTAAATTCCTGGAATGGTTCAAGATACAAAACAATTGTTTCAAACCTGTTCCAAACATCTGGTGAAATTGATAGACAACAGTCTGGATTGTTTGCAGTTGAGTCAAAATCGCAAAAATACGCAATGAAACCAACTTTTAATTTCATTGCTCGTTTAAGCATATTAGCTGTTGAGTTCCATCTTGTAGGGACATCAAGTATTGGTTTTAAGGTGCAATTTGATTGCTGGAAACCTTTAAACCTAGAATATGATTGAGGACTGGATCGGATTTTTTTAATTCCTGTTCTAAGTTTTACAAGATCATCTTTCAAAACATCCAAACCTGCTTGCGCGCCCAAATTCAGCACATGAGCAAAACACCGGATATGCTCAAAGGTGGTTTTAATTTCGTACTTGGAATTTAAAAAATCCATAAATGAATTATTATTGGAAGCATTATCTAAGGTAACGCCCATTCCTTTGCTTGTAAGACCGAATTCAATCAAAACTGACAAGAATGCATTAGATAAATTTGAACCTGAATGGGAATCAGGCAAGGATTTGAAATCAAGAGTTTTGGCATGTAGGTTCCAGTTTTTGTCAATGTAATGAGCCGTTATGCCCATAAAAGCAATGTTGTTGGGTGATGTCCAACAGTCAGTGGTGAATGAAACCTTTGAGTCAAGATTCAAATAAAGGGTCTTTAGCAATTGTTTTTTGGTGTTGTAAGTGTCCATTATCTGGCGTTTTAATTGGCGCGCACTCATGATTGACAAATTTGGTTTCAGTAGAGTGAGTAGTTTACGAAAGTGGCTGGAC